TTATTTTGCTTTTTGTGGTACTTTCTTGTTAAAGACTTTTTTTTTTTTGACCTTTCAAAAAAGCAGTGTGGACACCAACCCTTTTATCAACATCATCATCCAGAAGCAAATGGCTCTTTAATTTGATCAGGATCTCTTTTTATCAAATCATAGCCCCGGCCGCAGCTCGGCTGAAAACCAGAGCAGACCATTATCAAGCCGCTCAGGAAGCCAGTGAGTGGTAATTGCTCCCCCAGAGAACTGGTCATCTGAAGGCTTCCGTGTCCTGCGTAGTCAGAGGAAAGAAAGCGTGGCTGACATTATACCCTCATTCCACACCAAAGTAACCAATGACAAAGGGAGGCTATTAAAACAGGTCTGATCCTGTTCACCTTTACCTCTCCCATCCTTCGAACGGATGTCTCAAAGCAGCTATGTGTTCCAGCCTCTGCAGCCTCTAGTCACCACCCCATTTGGGATATTTTACAGCAACAGAGTGACTGCAACTAAGAAATATTATGTGGCTTGAAGTTCGTATGCATTCACTTGGAAATACGAGAATCAGAAATTTTACATTACTGCCTTTTTCTCTGTTGGATGACAAAAAGGCATTCTCTATTTTCTGCAGTATGTCATCATTAAATCCTATGAGAAATAATACAGGCTCTAGAGTATAATTCAATCTGTTCAAAATTCAGTCTATGTGATGTCTGTATTTCTATGCCTTGCCATTTCTATCAGAGCCCCTCTTCCTGTCTGTAGACATTTTGATCATTTTAGTACTTTAAAAAATATTTCTTCTTGAATCCAAGTCTCTAATGTACAACTGAGAACAAGAGACAAACTGGCATGCCATGACCAATCACAATTCCTTTCCAGTGAGGGCAGAGCTAGAATAGACTAGAAGTCCCATGGAGATTTCCATTCCCAGTTCTCTCCAAGAATTAAATGCACTGTTTTTAATCCGCCTCCTTTAAACCGTTACTGTCTTGCTCCACAGTGAAACTATAGTTCAAATACTTATTTCTCTGTTAGCTAAAATTCAAAGGTGTATAGTAAGACACAAAACAGTGCCTACATAGACTTCTTTATGTATGTAGACTCCTTTTTAAGGGGACTCCTGGTGTAGCAGAACTGTCTACCCAAACAGACAAAAGTCCAACATGGTGTAAACAATCTACCCTCTCCAGGAATAAATGTACCATTCACATACCCTTTCTCAGTAAGGGCATACTCCTTTGAGATAAAGACTGCTTCAAGTATTAAATGAACTGACACAAAGGCGTATAATATATAATTATTCACCACTTTCCACTTGCATACAAATGAGGCAAGTGATGTTTTTAAGTCTTCTGTGGAATGCGTTTTTAGGAGCTGACCTAGCTATGCTCTGAAGAGGCAAATATAGAGTCATGAGTGAATGCAGACAGGAGACACAGCTGAGTATCTGTTCATGGGACAAAAAACCCAACCAAGGAGACTTGACTGGACTTGAATTCCCAAATCCCATGAGGCAAAAACATTGAGGGACAAGGTACATTTCATCCTCTAAGGTGACTGAGGCTGACAACTGCTAGGGCTGAAAGGTATAAATTAATCTCCCTGGGATAACAAGGGTCTGAAAAACGATTTTCTAAAACAGGAATCGTTTTTTTTGTTAAGCCCATTTCCAAATACTGACCATTGAAGCCAAATTAAATCCACGGGGAGCAAATCTTTTAAAAACTACCTCTTCTATCCCTGATTCTTATAAGAAAGAGACTTTTTTTAAAATACAGAATTTCTCTTTCATAACGTGCAATGTGCCTAACAGAATTCAACTAATAAAAAGAAGTGAGGAAAAACATGTACAGTTACTAATTAACAATGGAAACCACACGTAGGGAGGCATGCCGATTCTGGTCCCCTGGCAAAGAGGAGGACAAGCTAATTTTGCTGGAGTCGTGGGCAAGGGCTATGAAGCCATCAACTTGGTCCCCTCCTCGGCTTCAACTCCTCCAGACACTGGGGCGGAGCAGGCGGGAGACTTCCGACTTCTCCACCGACACCCCACCCCTCTCCCACAGCCTAGCAGTCTCCTGCAGGACGAGTAGCAGCTGTGCCTGCTGGACTCCAAGACCATAGCAGGCTGTGCCAGAGGGAGGCCAAGGTCACCAGACTAGGGACTGAAACGGAGCTAGGTGTTTTCAAGCAAAGGAAATGCAAGTGGTTGAGTAGAGAGTGGCCACAGACTGCTAGAGAAGTACATGTGACAGGCACCAGAGAGATGGAGTTGCAACATGTTGAAGCGGCAGGTGCCGAAGCGCACGGTGGGCCCACGATGGGAAGGAAGATTGAGACCACCATGGAGGCAGCTACCACTGAAATGCCTTGGAGTTAATAACAGGTACGCTAAGAAAGCGTCTCTGAATGGTTAAATTCTCAGGAAGCTGCTCCCCAGTTATTACCTTCTTCCATGTCAAAAGCCCTTGATAAGTCTGGGACCCACACAGATGTAGCTGATCAGACAGACCATAAACTTCGTTATGGGAAAAGCAGCTCCTCAGACCTCTTGCTTTATAAAAGCCGAGAAATCAAAAGTGAAAGGAATCAAAACAGAGATTGGTGACAACGAATATAATGTGCCATACTCATAAAAAGCCATCTCCACCCGGTGATAGTAGCTCTAGCCCCCAACAGCTAGAATTGCCCCAGGCACGTTGCGCTTTCAAGAAACTGAGCTCTACTTATCAGGAGTTGGACTTTCCACTTCGGTTTTCATGCTTACCTGCTTGGTCCCGGCTTTCTTACTTTAAGAACCGGCCCCGTTAGTGAGGCTGTATAGTTTATCCATCCCCACCATCCTTAACATGTTCCCAGAGGTCTCTAATGAAGATCCTGAGCTTAGAACATGAACAACTGGTGTTTCTTTGACCCGGGTTGATTCTCCATTCTTCTTTCTTGAAGAAATTTGGAACACACGAGAGAAGCAGAAAGGAGAAATCAGCATAATTTAAGAAGCTGCTCCTGAAGTAAATTCTGTATTCCTGTGTTATTCCTTTACGGGGTTGCACTCCCTCCGGCAACTTCTTCCAAGGGGCCGTTTATTCTGCAGTCCGCTCGTTAAGTCCACTCTGAACGCCCTAGAAAGTCTTTTCCATCAGAGACTCCAGCCAGCTGGCCCCGTTCATGAGTTTAGTGGTGGCGATGACATACTCTGTGCCTCCGTCCTCCAGCTGAGAGAGGAACCGCAGGGCAGCGATCTCAGCAAAGGTTACACCCCCGAGGAAAAATATCAGGGTGACTCGGTTTTCTCCCGGTTGACCTAAAATTTAAACATTTCAGAATTAACAATTATTTATTGTTGGAGCTTCTCTTCCCACCTCTTAAAAAACTGCATTGTTCATAAGAAAGAAAATGTCAAACGTATCTTGGTCAGACAGCTCTTTTGAAATTCAAGAATGCGATTTTTTTTCGATTTTATTTTTATTTTCTGTTGTTTCTTGTCTTTTTTTTTTTAGGAACATGACTTTGATCTCGAATGTTTTTTCTAACGACTGAGATTCTCAACTCAGATGTCGGAAAGCTGCTACCCCTGAGGGAATAACAGGCGCTAGCCCTTAAAATATACATTAGTGACTAACAAAAGAGGCATATTGAACTCCTCCTAAGTACTTAATGAATGTACTTTACAAAGCAAGTGCATAATACACGAAAACGCACTAACATTATCTGCAGATCCTGCACTGAGACTTACGTTTCTTTTGCAGTCCCGTGGGCAACGGCTGTCGCTCTTCGAAGTGTGGCCCCGGGAGCATGCGGAGGACTTCCTCGATGCTCCGCCAGCCAGGCCGCGACAGTAGCTGGGCCAGCCGCACGCTGAGCGGCGCGTAGCCGCTGTAGACGTAGGATATGTCCGTGGGATTCTGTTAAATAATTACGGGGGGAAAAGACTGTCGGTATGGAGACGGGGCTTTTGGGTGATCCGAAATTATTTGATTTGTCTTAGAAGGCAGAAACGCAAACAACTCCCCGCCACCTCTCCCCACCGTCCTGCTCCAATCCGCCCCACTCAGGCTCTGTTCTTAGCAGCCAGAGGTTCACTTTTGACCCACATCTTGAAAAGCCACCTAAAGCATCTCTAGATACCGAAGATGAAAAATTGTTACTTGATTTGGCAAGAAACTTCTTGGTGTGTAACTTGGCACTCTCTAGCTGAGCAGCGATATGCATAACCTTTGAACTCGGCAATTCTACTTTTAGGGTTCTATCCCACAGAGGGGTTCGTACGCCAGGGGAGAACAGACCAAAGCATAAACATATTAACTGCAACATCGTATGTACCAGCGAAAGACCAGGAACAACCTGAATTTCTATCAGTTGAATCATAAAATAATGGATATTTACAACACCACTATGTAGCAATCACAAAGAACTTTTAAAAATGAGGTGGATCACAGAACAGTCTCCAAGACAGTGTTAAGGGGTGGGTGGGACAGCAGGTCAGAACAGTGGAGAGAGATGAACTAATACAGCACTGACTCTGTATAACACAGGAATTAAGAGTACTACATTCCAATTGGGGAAAAATAATGCAATGTCGCTATTGATAGAGACTTTAATTATTAGCTTTTGTTGCAAGAGGAGGCCTAATCATTTCCTTATGAAAAACCAAAAGAGAAAATGAGAAAAAGAAATTTAGAAAAGTTGGAATAAACAATAAACGTAAAGCAAGGTGCACCCTGCTTTGGAGACCAATGGTATAGAATATGCACATTTATGTAAAAGTGTATGTACACAGACTCTTTCTGGAAGGAGAGAGAAAAATCTGGGTTACAGCGGCTGCCTCCGAGTGGGGATGGCGGTTAGATGGGTACAGGCTGACTTTTGTACTCTGCGTGTCGGACATCTTTCAGATCCTCTCTGCTCTTCTCCTTGGCTGAGCCCAGGTGGCCAACTTGCAGGTTCTGTACCAACACGCTGCCAAGCCTTCTGCATCTGGCCAGTGGGAGGCACCAGAAGGAAACGGGAGTGTGGGCCGCAGTGTGAGGCCAGGGTTTTCTTGCCCTGGCTTCCTCTCTGGGACACTGCTAAGGGCTGGCTGGGTCCCCCGACCAGAGGCCTCTCATCCCTCGTCTTGTCAAGCCGGCCTCTCTGTATGGCTCTTTTTTCCAGGTCCCGGAGAGGTTTCTGGAACAGCTCCCTCTCTTGCCCTTAAGCTCCCCACTGCACTCCCTCCCACTGGTCCCCTCACTCCCATCTTTACAAAACTCTCCTCCAACTCTGCAGTGCGAGAGCACCCTCTGTTTCCTGTGGAGATGCTGGTAGACACAATACACGAACACATTACTTTTTCAAAAACATTAGAAAATTGTGTTTGGAAAGCAAGGTGGATGTGTAGATGGAGTAGCATCTGTCGTCGCAAACAGTTAACCAGCGACTAAGGAGCGCAGAAGTGAGGAGTGGGTCTTACCTGCTCGTTTACATCATCCATCCAGAGGCGCAGTGTCTTCCTGATCGTTGGGTAGTTGTTTCTGCCCCCCGTCTGCGGTTTGAGCAGGCCGGCCTTCTCCAGGTTGTGTAAGGTCAATATGTGCTCATAGCCATATGTCTGCAAGAGAAGTTGTTTGGCCTGGATGTCATAATAGGAGGAGGCTTTCTGCCACTTTCAAAACAGAGCGCTTACAAGAAGTCAATCTGGCTTGTTCTCCAAGGCCTGGTAGCAAAGTCCGGGTGGTGACTGCCATGAGCACGTGGCGGCACAGAGGATGAAACGTGCCCTAAAAGTGCTTGCCCGTTGCAATAACCCAGCTCATTGCCTCAAAGAGGGACTTAAAAAGTTTACTTTAAAGTCAGAATTTATGGACCCAACATAAGCTAGCATCAGATCAATTACAGTGGACACTTGAACAACATGGGTTTGAACTACATGGGTCCACTTGTGTGTGGATTTTTTTTTTGCTAAATATACACTGTGCTGTAAATGTATTTTGTCTTTATTCTGATTTTCTTAATAACATTTTTTCTCTAACTTACTTTACTCTAAGAATACAGTATATAATACACAGAAATACAAAATACGTGTTAATCGGCTGTTTATGTTATTGGTAGGGATTCCTGTCAACAGCAGGCTGTTAGTAGTTAAGTTTTTGGGGAGTCAAAAGTTACAGGTGGATTTTCAACTCTTGCATCATTCAAGGGTCAGCTGTATAGTATATATTTATACGGGATATAATTAGCTATTTAAAAAAAATGAGGTAGACCTATACATTCTGAGAAGAGAAAAGAATGATTTTCTGGATATATTCTTAAGGACAAAAAATATATAATAATAGAATACTATGTATAGAAGGGCTTGATTTCTTTTAAAAAATTATTAGTAAATAATAACAATAATAATAGCTGATACTTATTCTGTCTGTGTGCGGGGCACTGCTGTGTTCTACGCACTTTACATACGTTAACTCGTTCATCTTTGTTATAACCCCACGAGGTGGATAATATTATCATCTCCATTTTAATGTGCCCAAGGCCACATGGCTAATAGCGACAGAGCTGGCTTGGATCCAGCCAGTCTCGCCCCACAGGCTGTGTGTATAAACTTGTGTGTATGGAAATATAAGAAGAAAACGTGGACGTACACTAGCCAAACTGCTGACGTTGGTCTTATCTGGGGGGGATGGGGCTGGGAGTGGGGTGCAGGGATGTTCACATTTTGCTCCATGTACTTCTGCATTATATGACAAGGACGCATGTGCTATTTGTGTAATTTTTAAAAAGACAAAAACAAAAAACTGAGCATTTAGTTTTAACAGTAATGTACTTCACTGTGACTGATACTAGCAAATAAATCCTGCCTGAGGCATTTGCAAACAGTGGGCTTTTCTTATTATAAAGTAACACAGGGTTAATTTGAGTCTGGTAAGGAATTATTATTAGAAATTTGCAGAGAGTTCTCTTCCTCTGTCGAATACTGGCTGGTAAGAGAATGGGCACCAGACCGCAGGTGCCTGAATTTTAGCGCTGGCTCAGCCCCTTACTGGCTGGGTGACCTTGGGGCAGTTCCATGACTACTCTGTGCCTCAGTTTTATCATCCATAAAATGGGATGACTCACAGACCTGCTGTCACAGTTAAACAAATGACCACACATAATAGCTCTTCCAGTAGAACCAGGGGCCTGGTCTAGTAAATGCTCAGTCAACATGAGCGGCTATTACTATGCAAATACAAGACACAATGCAACACCAAGGACCATCTCTCTAGGAGTTAAAAAATTTAAAAGACAATGGAAATCATATACCAAAATAGCAGATTTGGGAAGTATTTTTTTTAAAAGATGTTTTCTCCTTTGGCAAATTAGTAATTTACAAATATACTAACCTGGAGAATTTCTCTTTTGTAATAATCCAAAACTTTTTGTTTGAGTCCACTATTGCATACGGATTGGAGGCAAATTAGTCTTAACACCTTGATGAGCGGATGCTTTTGGGCAATACAATCCTCGATGTAACTGTTGACCTGGAAACAAAGTATAGACATACACTGGCATCTGGTTTAGGGACCTCTAAAAATGTGATATATACTATTATTTTTCAAAGTCAAATAAAGGATATGTGTGAGAGAATGGCTCATTCTTTTCTCACACTCCCTCGCTCCCTCCAGCCCCTGCCACGCACACCCTCAGCCACCGCGCAAACGCACCAGCCATCAGGCTGGCAAGGACACACCGGCACTGCGAATGCCTGCCTGGACTCATCTGCCTCGCGGACAACCTCCCGGGAGGCGCGTGTGACCTCGTTGTTCTCAGTAACGTGGAAATGACCAGTAACAGGAATTTTTTTAGAAGATGGAAATTTTCATACATTGAAATCTTATTAATGTATTAATGGAGGTGGATATATAAAGGAATTATACGACCACTTCTCTCCGAAAGCAAGTACCTCACTCGATCACAGCCCTTACAGCTCCTAGATTTCAGGGCCAGCTCTCACCTCCCTGTGTGCATTGTAGAAACTGCTCCCACAGAGTAATGTTGAATGTCTGTTACTTGATGAAATCTGTATTTTCACATTTTGCATTTGCTCTTAAAAACATGCAAGACACTGCAGTCAAAGCCATTACTTTTATAGCTGTAATCTTTGTTAGATAAACTATCAGTTATTTGTTATATCAGTTTTATTGTTTACATACCTTATCAGTGTCTATTCCAGACATAAACTCCTGCTCCACTGTTAATTTATCAAAGAAGTCTTCGGAAGCTAAAATGTAGAAAATCCGCAACTTAGAAATTAAGAAACAAGACGTGCCAAAAAGAAAGCAAGCGAAGGTTGAAATCGTCACCTGACAAGAATCTTCTAAAAGCACAGAAAACCCCACAACCCTGTTCTCCTAAGTTACATCTGGATATAGTTGACCGCTATACCCCTCTGCTATCCTTAGGGCTCAAAAAACAGGTCTCAAGGATTTTGCCCCAATATCTGCGAAAACCAATTGCCCTAGAGCAATTCACTTTTATCATCAGGTTCAACCCAATTTCAATAGATTTCTATTAATGTGAAAACAAAGAACTGAGTTTCTGACACTGGGCTGTATTTAAGATTCCAAGTATACTCAGTACGGAGCACCGAACAATCTCCTAGTCAGCTTTTCCAGCCTGTGTGATGATGAATAAACTCGCTTTTGGTTTAGTACACACCTTCTGAGCTCTTTCGAAACACTCAACATGTGCTCTCTACACCAATTCTGCAGGAAGTTTTTAAGGGAAAAACAAAAAACCAGAAACATCACACTGCTCTAATTAAATAATCCTTAACAACAGGAAAAAAACTAGACTGAAAAATTAACCTCCTCATATTATGGTGACAAATTTTGAAAGAATTCTTTTCTCTTATCAATATTCCAAGTATATGACCATATGATTATATTATTTTAATAATAAAAGAAATGAGTTGACCACAAATGGAAGACTTTTAATCATGAACACGTGTACGCTTAACACTGAGAATCATGCACCATATTAAAACAGAGCTGACTTTCCCTGGACTGTATTCTGCTGCCAAGGACCATGGCGGCAGACACTGCGTGCAGGCCAGCTCAGACAAACATTGTCGCACCACAGGATACTCACTGGTGACATCTTTGATCAGCTCTGCAATCGAGGTGTGGTTCGCAAGGGAGCCCCTCGCCGCCTGCATATGGGGCAACTGGGAAACGAACTGCTTGATCTCCCCCACTGTCTTAGCGTTGTGCCTTTCCTGAAACACGCAGAATGGCAGAACCTCTGAGCAGGGCAGACACTCACTTTTAAGTACTATGTTCCTTGCGTGGTTCAGAAGACATTTAATTTATGTTAATGTGAAAGAAAGAACGGAATACAAATAAATCAGGCCAAAGCCAGCTCCAACGTTACGTAGTAAAACAGAAGAGATAAGTTCACGATGCCTGGTAAAAGCATGAGTGATTCCGTGGAGAGCAAATGCCTAAGGTTTTCTCTTCCCATGCAATGGCTTGTGTTGGGATCGTTATTTTGTGGGCATCTGAGTATTTTGGGGGGACAGTATTATGTGAACCACAAAAATTTCTGAATAAAACACTAAAAAGAAGCATTATGTTAAGAGAGAAATATGTATAGTAAAAAGCTTCCTCTAGAACAGAAAAAAAATCCATTCTGACTCCCGAACCTCAAACTTGAATATTGTCTGTGAACAAAGCGAACCTTGTGTAGTGATGAGAAAATATATATACATTTTTTGCAAAATGTGATCAATTTAAACCAAAGCAACTTCAGAAATACGAAAATCAACTAATGAATATCATTCCTAAGAAAGATGAGATCTGGAAATACATAGTCAGTGAAAAATTCGTTTTCAAAAATTCTCCCGACTTGCGCTTCTAAATTCTAGGTATTCAGAGTCTATCACTGTACTGCTCTCCCATGTTTCAGAATCGAGCTTCGCCAAGACTGAAGCAGGGGCTGGGCAAGAGGGGGCAGGAAGGTGGTGATGAAGCTGCCAATTAACAAACTCAGGCGCTGGGGATTTCACTGTCATTATCACCCACGGTATCTGCCGGGACTGGCAGGTCGGCCAGACTGGGAGCTTTCACCCCAGACTGCAAGTTCATTAGAGAGGAACTTCTATTTATAACACAGCTGGCTTCCTCTTAAATGAGGTAGGAAATATTTCAAAAGAAGACAGTAAAATGAATGTTTATGACAAAAGCTAGCATGCTGCAAACATGGCTCCCTGTGCCCGGCCCCCCAAATGAGAGAAAACCTTAACACAACATCTCCTCTGCCGGGTCTAAGAAGTTAGAAAAGAAACCCATGGGTCCTCCAATAGCAGAGTTTACGGTTTCTGAGGATGAGGAAGCCGTGCTCAGTGGCTGTATCCGTGCGCAGCTGTCACTGTCCTCGTGGGTGGGCAGTCCAGCCTGTGACAAGAGTAGCAAGAGGACAACCGAACTGGCTCACCTCAAATGCCGCCGAGATCACCTTGGCTTTCTTGCTGAGCACGGAGCCCACTGCGTTGAAGTTCTTGTCCCGGATCTCAGCATAGAGCTCCTCGGCCGAGTTCAGCTGGAGCTTCTTGGCTTCCGTGGGGAGATCCTTCCCCCCATCACCCTGTTTCTTGGGCACGAATTTCTCTGGGGGCAACTTCACGTAACCTGGACAACAGTGCGAGAGAACGAGCACCTGTGCGCATGTCCCAGAAGGACCGATCAAGCGCCCAGGCACAAAACAGACTTTTCCCACTCAGGAGCGATGTGAGCCGGCTTTAGAGAAAAATGGTATACAGCACTGAGGTTTTCATGTTTCCATGATCACAGTACACTTTGATCAGAAGTATTATTAAAATTTTCTCAAGTTTTAAATAAGGACAGAAACAAACAAACATCATGTGGGCCCAAAGCAAACCAAACCCATTTGTGACCTCTGACCCAATCATCCATCACACTTAAACTCTTGCAGGCCTTCAGTCTTCTACCTAGTGTCCCCAATCTCCTTTCCCCCAGGATACGTCCTCGGCTCTGTTCTCTGCTTTTACCAAGCTGGTCGCTTCACCATTCCCGGCTTTTATTATGAGGCTGCCCCTCATAGCAACCCCCTCTCTCCAAACCCAGCTCCAAGGCCGCCTCTCCCACAGCTTTCCTGCACGACTGCCAGCCACCAAACTGCAGTACCAGCCTGTGTTTAACGATGGCCTCTGCTCCCAGGGGACAGGCACAGTCCTGAACACTATACATCCGGCCAGCCCTTGTGTGACGGGAAACAGCAGTTTACTCAGCAGTTTAATCCCAGTATCTAAAAGTCAAAAGTCAGTATTTATATATTTTTTCAAATATTCTGATTTATATGTAAAGAAAGTACTTTCTTAAAAAATGACCTTTTTGATATTTTTATCGGATTACCTATTAGCAAAAATAGATGTCACTTTACTTACTGTTCTGAATGCCGTAAATTTCATCAATGAGTCCTTCATACGTGAGCTGAGTGGCAAGAGGCGTTAATAAATCCACGTTTCGATCAAGCAACAAGAGATTATCAAAAACCGGAAATACTGAATTCTGGCTTCCTGTAAACTCTCTCTTCATCCTAATCATCATATTGGCCACTTGCTGGAAACAAAACATTGGATCAGGGGGGGCCCTCCCGGGAATTAGCAGATTTTAAAAGTCAGCTAAAAACAGAAAGACAATCCAAAAAGTAAAAGCAGGAGCAAAACGGTGGAAGAGTGAGACTGGTAAGAAATAAGCAGCTACAGAAAAGCATTTGCTGCCGGCGACCCAGGTCAGCAATCATACTTTGGCCAATGGCAGCCGCTATTTCTGTAAAGCCACCATGAACATGGATAGTGAATACTGAACCACTGGCTCCCCGGGGAGTGGGGGGCCATGGGATGGGTGAGGTTCCCGCAAGCAAATGATCAATATGTAAACTTGTTTAGTGTGTGTTTCTGTTTAAAGACACTTAAATATGTATCGTTGATTCATAACATGAGCTCGTAGGGCCAACGCACTCCCACCCACGAGGAAGGCCAGCTTTTCTGATACACGTGTCTCCTCCCTAAGGCACATCTCAGCCTTCCTGCATTCTTGAACATTAAATAGCACTTCAGCACTATGCACGGGGCCGTTTTAATAGCAAAATCACCAACAAAAAGAACAGAAATGCGAAATATGTGGCGTTAGGTAGTGCGTGGCACCACATGGTGGCCCAAAAGGACACTGTTTACAGTGTGGGAGCCGGAACGAGAGGGCAGAGCGCACTGTGTCCGACCCCAGCTGCCAGCCCGCACACTGGGCAACTCCGGTGTTTTGCCGCTTTGAGGGTATCCACGAAACCCTGCATATGGATTTGGGGGTAACGAATAAATTTTAGCAAGTAGTCGAATTCCCAAATAAAAAGGATGGACGGGCCTTGTTTGTAAATAGCTCCCCACTCCTCCCCATTTTTGGGTCCTAGGGGGCCTCCCTTGGCCACCAGGGACACCCTGTTTCTTACCCGGGCGCACTCTCCTTTCCCGAAGATCTGGGGGACTGTCCCGTATAAGGCCTGCAGGGTCATCAGCCCCTTGGCTGCGTGGTAGAGGCTGGTCTGGTCGCTCTCCAGGTAGCACTCCTGTGGGGAGCAAGGATCCTTACTGCAAGCCAGGGTCATCTGGGAGCCTACTGGGGGTGTCTGCCGGGGAGAGGGGCCCCACTGCAGGTGGTGAGACCACTCCACCTGGGACTCAGGCCCCTTTTACGAAGCTGCTGTGGGGCATTCTAGGCCATGAAGCCAGCAGCTCTACTGTCAGGGTGCAGCTGTGGAAGCGATTCCCCTGGGGCAGCCCCTTCTGGAAGAAAAGCGTTCACCAGGCATGCCAGCTCTTAGTTTACCAGCTCTTGAATAAACTACTGATTAATACTTACATGGGTTCTCTCACTCGCTGTGGTCAGTGTCAACTCTAGTAAAACATTCAGCGAGGGCCACATGCTAATACCCACAAAGGCACATATTCTTTGGCTCCCAAAGTCCCAGAGGACCACACGACAAAATACTTTGCAGTTTTTACAAACACAAGGCAGATTTTCTTATATATGAGCAACAAATGAAGGCCATAACATCTTGAGAGAGGAAAGGGGTAGCGGAACAACCTTTTAGAGCATAATCTCATTTAAAAAAACACATTTTAGTTTATAAACTATACAAAGTGTGTTTTGTAAAATATATAAAAATATATCTTTTTTTTTTTTACATCAGAAAAAAGGCTAAAAAATAAATACACACAAAACCAGCTGAGAAGTGAGAGAGGGAGCCTTCAGTTTTGACACTGGTAAGTAGGGTACAGGTTCTGGACTCAAGGTGTCACCTCCCAGCTGCTCCCTAGGCCAATTAGATAACCTCTTTGTTCCTCAATTTATTTATCTGTAGAAGGGAGTACATTCCATATAATGTAAGGATTAAATGAGAAAAATGTGTATAAAACATTTAATCCTAACACCTGAAACATATAGCAACTGCTTGAAAAAGGTTAACTTTCATTAGAAATTGGATTTTTTACAACCATCATGCACTCGTAAGTCAAAATGATACACTGTACCCCTCCCCCACATGCATCTCTAGCGTCCAAAGCCAGGAAGGAGGGGACACCAACAGGTGAGGGACTAAGGACGAGAGGGCAAGTCTGGAGTATTTTAACATTTCGCTGAATATGAGAGGCCAAAATTGAGAATGTCTAAAGATATACTTTCTGTCAAAATTACTTTTAAACTCTTGATTAGAGCAGGGCTAATCAAGAAAATTCAAGAAAAAAACATATTCAGGAACATCTCTCAGAAGGGCATTCATATATATATTTTTTTAACTTAAAAAGTGTTATTGCCAAAATATTCCTTTTATAATTCCATCTTTTAAAAAAAAAAGATGTAAAAAAGATATTGAACTTTTTGCTCTAATGTAATTGGTGGTGGGGTGATTATTTGTATCACTATCTCGACTTTATTCTGCACCTGTGAAATGCCACATGGTATTTCAAGCCATGAGGGCACTTTGGAAGGCCCAAAGGCCAATGGCCATTAACATTTAAATACACAATTTTTTGACTTCAAAGTCCCACATGCCTACACAATAGAATACCTTGCGAAGCATTTTTTTAAACTTGTTTTTGCAAAGGAGATGGATTTTATAATATTGATTTTTCTATATACAAATGAAGGTCACAATATGTCCAGTGCTGTTATTGAGCATTAAACTGAGCAGAATTCTAATTCCTATGTTTGTACAGTACAAAGAGGATGATTATAATCATATCCTAAGAGCACAGAAAGATCTAGAACGCGTTCTGATGCCGAGAAATGCTAAATTACACTGTTTAAAAATCACATAAATAAGTAAAATGACCTCGACTCCATAAGAAATCGAGGTTGACACTAACATTAACTAGAACCCTTAGCTTTACCACTTGGACTTCTAAACAGGATCTTAATGAACGCACAAAGCCCGTAGCTTGAAGCTCTCAGCAGAAAATAATCATCCTTTTTTTTTTTTTTGCGCAAATCTCTGGTTAAATAAACAGCAACTCTCCCCTCTGGACAAGTTTTGTCATGCCAGGACAAATTTTCCTCAGCTGCTACCAATTCACATTAATTACACAATGTGAGTTAATTATTTGTGGGTATACCACTATAGATAATTGATAAAGCAAACATAGCAAAACCTTATCTAGGTGATAGATATACGGGTGGTCCCTGTAAAATTCTTTCAACTTTTCTGTATGTTTGAATTTTTTTTATAGAAAATGTTGGTGGGCATGAATCTGTACCTCAGTGGGCGAGGTTTAGCGTAAGCAAACCAATGGGGGAATATGGCAAGAATGAGCAAGAAACTCTCGGTTATAAAATTAATCAGCCACTGAGTCCTGCCTCTTGTCAACTCTTTCGAAGTGGTGATCATTGTAACAAAATGCTGGGGAAGAAAACATTTCAAATAATCTTTTGTACGACATCAGTGATTTCCAAAAGTTCTAGTCCCTAGACCAGCAGCATCAGCGTCACAAACCCATAAATCAAAGGAGACAGATAAATGTGATTACGATAAGAAACCACATGTGGCAAAAACTACCATCAGCAAAGTCAAAAGACAAATGTGACCCGTGCACGGTCATTCATTGTAGCACTGCCTCTAACAGCAGAAGATGAGAAACAACGAAGTGTCCTTTGAAAGGGGACTGCTTTCATAAGTTATGGTACATTCAAAATGTGGAACACTATGCGGTTTCAATCGAGAATAAGGAACTGTTCTCTTATATGGTAGAAAATGATCCAGGATATTTTATTAAAAGAATAAAGCAAGATACCAAGGTTACATAGTCGACGCTACCATTTGTTTCAAAGTGGGAGGGTATTATATACACTATGAGCTGTAGCTGCATAAATCATCTCCAAAAAACTAAAAAGAATTAGTGATTGTTTCTGGGAAGGAACTGGCAGTTTATGGCGTGGAGAGTGGCTTAATTTTCACTCTTACTTAAAAATTTATTTCTTACTTAAATAAATTTTCCATGTGCACAAATTACATTTATAAAACATTTTCAAATTACATTTTTAAAGATGAAATAATGCTCTTATGAAAGAAAGTATTCTTTGAAATAAAGATGGCAAATTCAAAAATATATAAAATTACATTTGCAAGAACCCTTTTAGAACTAGTAAACAAAGCTGTGCACATTCACTAATAAACACGCTGAAAACAATCAGTGGGGAAAAATACTGCTGGAAAAACTGCTCACCCACGTGGGAAAAATAACCTAGTTCCCTACCTCACACCACACACGCCACAGAAATACACGATTCAAGCTGGATTAGAGACCTGAATATGAAAAGCGAAACTTCACAATTTTTAAAGGAAAATATAAGATTCTTCCTCTTCAGGGTGGAGAAGGATTTATTAAGACTCAAAAAGCACAAACTTAAAGAAAAAAAGGGATATATTTAACTACTTTAAGCTGGAGGGCTCACACCTCCCAAGTTCAAAGCTTACTGCAAAGCTATAGTAATCAAGACAGTGTGGCACTGGCACGAGACAGACATGATGACCGATGGAACAGAACTGAGACACCAGAAATAAACACGTTTATGGAAACTGATTTTCGACAAAGGAATCAAGACAATTAAATATGGAAAGTGCTGGAACAAATGGATATCCATGTGCATGAGAATGAAGTTAGACTCTTACAACACATAAAAATAAATTCAGGGTGAGGTCAAACCTAAATGTAGGACTAAAACTGTAAAACTTGTTGAAGAAAATACAAGTGTGAATTCATAACCTTGGATTAGGCAATGATTTCTTAGATATGACACCAAAAACATAAGCAACAAGAGAAATAAATAAACTGAACTTCATCAAAATTAAAAACATTGGTACACTGAAGGATACCACTTTCACCAAAAAAGTTAAAAGAACCTAAAGAATGGGAAAAATGTTTGCAAATCGTGTATCTGATAAGAGGGACTTGTTTCCAGAATATATGAAGAATTCTTAAAACTCATAATGAAAGGATAAAAACTCAGTTTTAAAAACATACCGTGGATCTGAACAGACACTTCTCCAAAAGCAGATATAGGAATAAGCACACGAAAAGATGATCAATATCATTTGTCATGACAGAAATGCAAATCAAAGCCACAATGTGTTAATACTTCACATCCACTAGGATGAAATTTGAAAAGATAGACAATAACAAGTATTGACAAGGATGCAAGATTGGAACCCCTCATCTGCTGCTGGTGGGAGTATAAAACAGTGCAGTCACTGAAAAATGGTTTGGCAGGTCCACAAAATGTTAAACATAGCGTTTAACCATATGACCCTGCAGTTACACCCCTAGGGATAGCTAAGAGAAATGAAAACATGTGTACACACGAAACCTTGTATGAACGTTCATGGCATCATGACAGCCAAAAAGTGAAAGTCAATTGTCCATCACAGATGAATGATAAATAAAACGTTGGATATCATTACAATGGAATAGTATTTGACAATAAAAAGCTTCCTACTGACACATGCTACAACACCGATGAAGCTTGAAAACATTGTGCTAAGAAAAAGGCTAGATCAAAAGGCCACGTTACGATTTCATCGATAAGAAATCTCCAGAATCATCGGATCCACAGAGACTCCAGCAGATTGGTGATGGCTAAGTGGTGACAGCTGCACAATTCTGTGACTACACTAAAAACCGCTGAACTGCACGCTTAAAAAGGGTGAAATTTTTGGTATGTGAATTATGTCTCGATAAAGCTGTTATTACAAAAATTTAACAACTTCATAACTGGAGATGTCTACATGATGAAAGATATTATAAAGTTAAAAGACAAGCCACAGACCGGGAGAAGATATCTGCAGCTTTTGTAACCCAGACTCTACAAAGAGTTCCTCAAAAAGAAAGAATGGGCAAAGAAAATGAACAAGCAATTTACAATTTACTGAAGAAAAAAATCTTAAACATCAATAAACATACGAAAAGGCTCAGTTTCACGGTCACCAAGGAAATGCAAACTAAACATAACCCTGACACAGGTTATGCTCCTAAATTTGGCAAAAGTTAAACTCTGACGTTAAAAAAGAAAATGTCAAACTCACTTTGAACGCGCCCTCCGACTCCATGGATAAGAGATCCCCATCGAATGGAATGAGATCTAGGCTGTACTCCTCCCTGTGAATAAAGGAGCCCAAAACACCCAGGTCCTTCAGCCGCTGTTCGCACAATAAGCTACGGCGTGGCACAAACAAAATATGGAAGTCTCTGGCTGGGCCACGTCTGTCTTCGCTGTAAGAAAAGGAATATTTGTTAGCTTATGAGCTCCATAGAGTCACAGACTATTTTGCTTATTTTATTCCCAGAGCCTGGCTCTATGCCTGTACACAGCAGGCACTAAATAAATGCTGGCCAGATAAACATACAAACATGGACTTTGAGATCAAATTATTACAGTTGTTCTCTCACGCTCTTCTTTTTTTAATCCCCGGCAGGAAAGCAGCATTGATTCATAGCCACTATTCCGCGATGCATTTTCTAGCTTTCTCTTAAACTATTCATGAGGCAGTAAAGCTCTCAGGTTTATTGAAACAGGATATCGGTGTCTTTCTGAAAACAAATGGTTCTTTAAACCAAATCATCACAGTGATATGGAGTCTTACATTTAGAAAGGTCATTCTTAACTCCCACTCTACTAACCTTGACAGTGGATTTCCCAAAATAGCCCATTTGCTTTTAAGCTTTTAGGGGCCACATCAATCGACTGCACTAGAGGGCAGACTGGGCTGGGAGAATTTCCTCTATAGATTGGAGGCTACGTTAAATTTTGATCAGCTCTTATTTATTTTGCTTATGAAATTCAAGCACACTACATTCAGTATATTGAAAAAATAACCATTAGCGGTTTTTCGTTTTGCTTTGTTTTGTTTTGAATTGGGGTCCTCACTATTGATACAGGTTCAAAGATTTAGCTCCCCTGAAAGAATGGGGTTATATGATAAACCTCCCATCTCAAACTGAAAAACTTCACGTTTCCCATTCCCCCTCTGATACTCTTTCACCCCGTCCCAGTTTTCCAAAATACCATCTTCTGATGTACTGGCAAGAAAACGGGGTTGCAAAGAGCAGCTCAGGATGTTAAAACTTCCTGAAGGACCAACCTCTTTTGGACCAAACATAAGCTCTGAGACATACCTGAGCACATTATCAGCAATTATATCCATCAATTCTAGCCTGGGTCTGACAAAAAAAATAATATTCTTGACATCGGCTGCTGGCAAACGACCTCTTTTAAGTGTGAACATTTTTTCCACCTCATGTTCCTAGGAAAACACACAAAAAGTTAACAAAAAAATCTGTCTTTACCCATCATATCCAGACTCAGACATCATAAACACTCCCAGTCAAATGCATATTAATAGTTAATTATCAAAATTCAATTCCCCAAAGCCAGATGTATAAAGGATCAAGTTTCAGGCTGAAGTTACTGCTATTGAATCTGAATTCAAATGACACTCACATGATGAACTATCAAAGACACCAGGTAATGATCACATAATAGAATGCTAATAATTTCCCTAAAATTAGAGTTAGTATAGTATCACAGGCCAAAGGATCATTGTATACAAAATGTTAGTCACAAATTAGTATCAGTGTTTATAAGGACCAAACAGCTTTGCAAGCCAGTTACTCAGGAAGAAAGGTAAAATCCTATTATTGTTGCTCTTAGAATTGTTAATCCCTGAACAAAACCCCAAAAGCTCATTTACCTTCAGTAGTGAGTACTGTGCAATCAGACCAAACGGCCCTGTGAGGTACTCATCCCAAACTATCGCCTGTAAGAGAGGAGAAACATTCTCTTATTATGGTTAATATCAGGAATTTCAAAAACATCAACAGAACACAGCAGTCAAAGTAGGAATATCTGCTTCAAACTCCAAATTAACAAAAATTTTAATAGCCTCGGACAACATCCCTATCCTACAGGTCTAAAGAAAAAGAGCATCAGGAGCAAGTGATGCTACCATCGGTCTCGGGAAAGACAAGACTCAACTATTGTCCTCAATGGAAGAAGAAACGTAGTTTGTTGTGTATGTGTCACGGTATTAATGATTAGACTGAACATATAAACCACCAATGGCAACAGTTGACCTATTTTGTACGTAAGTATCATGTAACCCAATTATATAAAATTAAAACCTCTGATTAGGTATTACAAATCTAGTTTTGACAAAAGAGGACATTTCAAAAGGCTCAGAAAATTTAAGTAACATGTCCCAGGCTATAAAGGGACCTTAGACCTTATATGTAGTAGAAGGGGGTCAGGACTCTAACCTAGAACTTACTGACCCCATCCGTCAAATGCTCTATGAGCATTTCTCCTGCTAAACTCTGGTGTCATTTTTCTTTTTTTAACTGAAATTTTTATTGAGAAAACTATAGATCAACATTCAGCTGTAAGAAATAATACGGAGAGACCTCCTGTGCACTTTCTCCGTTTTCCTCCAACGCTAACGCTTGGCAAAGGTCTAGTACAATATTCCAACCGGAATACTGACAATGATCCAGTCCACGATTTTATCACATCTTGAGCTTGAACTAGGCATCTAGGACTTAGCCTGCTGTCTTCTCTCAATAGCTGCTAGCACCCACTCTACCTCTTGGGGTTCCATTTTTTCGAAGATTGATTCCTGACTTTCCTCAGTTCTCCTTTTCTCTTGCGTTGTACTACCAGTTACTTAAGGGGACCGATAAATCCTAAGGGGATAGGGTAGAGGTAATACCACTTAAAAGAAATCCTATAAAGCCCCCAACCTACAGTTTCTGATTCCATTGTGAGGTGGGTGCTAGGAAACGTCTAACAGGAGAGACAATCCTATTTCAGTAAGGTCACATTAAACCTCGAATAACTCTGACTTCTCTCATAATCCGTGTAAGCAGCAGGTTGTAAGGTGTTGGTGCTTCGCACACTGTGGAAGGTATGATTTGTAAGGACACGTTGTAACGAACAGTGGCCCACCATCTACGTCCTTAGACCAGGCCCGCCTCACCGGTCCCGCTGTCAGCTGGTTCACCAATGGGCGAGACATCACGGTGGCAGATTGTGCTGCCACAAAACAATACGATGCCAGGCGGACTTCGGGCTGTGGGACCCGTGGTTCCCGGGGTCCTCATACACCGGGAGCTCCGGAGGTCGGACGGGCTTAGGCCAGGCCGGACGGGGGCCGAGGGCGCTATCCCTGCTTCCCGTCCCTCACCTTGCTTCCCGCGCACTTGTCCAGGAACTCGCGCAGCTCCCGACGCACCGCCTCGCGCAGCACGTTCAAGTTCACTCGCCCGTAGGACAGGTGGGCCGCCATTCTGCCCCACCGCCCACCTTTTTCCCCAATCCAAACACGTCCTATCACACTCTCTATACGAAGCCCTTAGGCGCGGTCATGTGACAGAGCGTTCACGTGACCGGGGCCGCCAACAACACGCCCAACCCGGAAACCCGAATCAGCCGGCGTCTGCTGCTCTTCCGGGCCCTAGCGCCGCCTCTTTCTTCCACCGCTTGGTTTCTGACGCTGTCAGTTCGGGGGTCCTTTGGCGCTGAGAATTGAATTTAAAGGCGGAGACTGGATTCTGCTCGACCCTTTTAAGTAAAAAAGAAAAAAAAAATGTGACTTTCTTCTTAGCATCCAGCGCACTCGCGGTAAGATGGTAATTTGAAGCTAAACTTGAATGGAAATCTTTTGAATTATAGCAAATAAAAGGTCTTTGGCTTTGCTCTTTTGGTTTGTGGGCTAAAATTTACAAAACTGACCACCAGGGGCCAAGGGAACCTTGAATGACATGTCTGTTTAGCTCGTCCTCGTAGACTTTTACTGCGACACGGTATTTCACGCACACACTATCCAGGTCCCACCACTTGTTTCATCGGTAAAATTTGCATGTTAACTTCGTGAGTTGAGGGAATCAAAGAGGATCGTGTAATTCGTATAAAAAACTAATAAGGGTGTCTGGAACTTAATTTCTCAATAAATACTGTTTTAGGATACATGCATTTCAATACTTTGAGGTAGAAGTTGGCTAGTTGGGATCTGGTGAAAGACGAAAATGTTTGGTCTTTGAGTGCATGGCTCCTTTCAATCTTTTATACACTTGTACTTTATGTTATGGAGAAAGGCCTCGCGAAGTAATTACTATGGAGTCTGAGTAAGCAAAGAGCAGAATTTAGGGATATGCAGAAAAACAATCATATATACATACTTTCGCTCTCGATTTCATGATTCCATCAAAGCCATTCAGATTTTAAAATAACTTGTTTCCACTCATGCAGACCGTTCCATATTTCTCAACCCAGTTTTCGCCCTGTATCACAAAGTCTTCCCGGGTGTTGGGTTTTTGCTCAACTGAGAATGTGTATTATTTTAGCACCCTCTGTGAGAATAAATGAGGTAAACAGGCTATGCCATGAGCTGTTTAATGAGGGTACAACTTGTTCTAATAAGTCAACCGCCCAAGGCTAGTGAAATCTCAAGCATGCATGAGTGTAAGTGAGCAAGAGCAGGATAAACTCCTCAAACAGGACCAGGATGCTAGATGATCAGAGGTGTTTTACTGGTATAGATGTTTGGAGACTTTGCTATAGTGCTGTAACTGTCCTATAAATATTATGCACTTGCTCAGTGTTGTCTTTTTATTGAGATATAACTGACGTGTATCACTGTTAGGTGTAACAACATGACTTATGTATACATTGTGAAATGATCACAATAAATTCAGTTAATAGTTTGAGTCTTTTAATCCCCTGCGGTTAATACTGAAGTCCAGGGCTACTGTCAGAGTGTTAGTTAGGTAAAAGCAATGCTCTTGTTCAACTAGTAATTCTGCTTTGGAAATACCTACCTGTGGGGGACTCTGCTCATAAAAGATGTTTGGCTATGTAATCATTTTGGGAAAATTACAGCAACATTCAGAGTTTCTTTCTAAAACTTCATGAATAGTTGGTACTGTATAGTGCCACTTCTACTTTGGTCAGGTAATGGTGTGACAGCAATAAATAACCACCTCAGGTATTTATTTATGCTAAATGGGTCACAGAACACTTCGAGATAAGGATATATCTATTTCTTAATACTTATCAACAAGACTGAGGTGCAAATGCTATTTGGATCTATAGCGCTTGCTTATTTGAAGAAAACCATTATGACAAACCTGAGAATAATATTAGTTACTACCATTGGCAAAAAAGAATAATCATTTATTAAAGTAGATACAGAACACTTATTTGCTCAAATTTTAATACTGCTTTACACGTTGAGAAACAATTCCTATTATATTTATAACCAAAAATTTCAACTGATCACAGATTTATTTTTCACTTCTCAAACACAGAGTTGATAATCTTGAGGGGAAAATACATCAAAAGCATATATACAATTATAGAAGTTCTTATTATACATGTAGCATGGAAGATACATTACTTTTTACATATTCTAGAAGACATTCAAATCAAGATAAATAGATTCAAACTGGTTGATAAACTTCTGGTGGTTGAGGTCCTTCATTTTATTTTTTGTGATAAGAAAATCCAAAATTACTCATGTTGAATTTCTCATCATACATTCATCTAAAAACAGTAAAAAAAACTTGTAAAGATTGTAGACTGGTTAATTTAGATGTTTTAAAGTGGCTTATTATCTAATTAATTGATGCTGGGGATTTCTGCTGGAGAAGGGAAAAATTATGGAGAAAATCTCTCATTTACGTCTGATAAACAAAATGAAAACAAAAAACAGTTGCAAAGCCGTGTGATGCTATTTCTGGCCTAGCTCATTATGTCCTGATGAACATTTTAAGTGTTTTCTTTTTCATAAAGGTAAAAATCTGAAAAGAAAGACACGTTGTGTATGCTTTTTCCCAAAATATAGATTTTAAAAAAATATATACATATAATATATAGAAGCTGAAATTATGCAAAATCAATAAACAAAACACCACAGTAGAGAGTGGGTGCAGCATATAGATTATAGATGTCCCCACAGCAGTTTGGGGGCTTGCCCCTCCCTTTACCTGTCTCATTTTACCACACCTACGTATCATCAAGCCTGAAATCAAGGCACTACTGACGTCAGGTAGTGCAAAGAGCTCAGATAGTTCTTTAAGAATAAAATACTTTAAATGAGTAGATGAAAATGCAAAATGGCACATTTTTCAACTCATTCCAGTGTCAAAGCTAAACCAAAACATCTAAATATACAAATGCAGCCTGGAAATAGTTTAGTGCAAATAGGAAAAGTAACGGCATAATTTAAAGTTACTTAAATAAGGTGTTGTGAGGGTAGGGGGTCGTTCCTTGAGGTTCCCCTGGGGATAATAGGTGTAATGGCATCTGGTGCAGCATCTTAGTAAAACTTTGAAAAACCAAGAAGACAAAATCAGAGGTGATAACTCACCTACCTCCTAAGTATTTATTATTTTTAACTTATAAAGGGAAATTAAAGGGCGATTTGTGGAAGATCAAAATATTTTCTTAGATTTGCTGATGGGGTGAAAAATAACGTGCGTGCTCCCGCAGTCCGCACGCACGAGGCTGGTGTCCGGCCGCCCGTGCGCAAGCGCGTCCGAGAGCCCAGGTCTCCCGCTGAGGTTTCGTCAGAAGGTCTCGTCGTCATTGCAGTTGGTGGCCCAGTGCCCAAACATCTCGCAGATTTCACAGTACGGGCGTTCCTCGCTCCGACTGCCGTGGTGTGTGGAATGGGGGGGGTCCTCAGACATCTGCGCCTGGGTAGGACAATCCTCTGTGTCGTGGAGATCGAAGCAGTCACATATGTCACAGAAGAGGCGAGGTTTCTTCTTGGACTGCTTCTCCTGGTCGTCACTGCAAATGTTAGCATGTATGATCAGAGACTCAGCTCTATTAGAAGAAATTCAAGAGATAGTATCACTTGTAAAGAATAAAAACCAAGAATTAAGGCCAAGGCTGGGAGCCCCCAGTGTAACTATCATAATCCACATTTAAAACTTCCATGCCAAATCATTTGTAGTGTGTCACTCCCTGGCCATATTTACGGAACTTGGTTTACAGCCAAGTAACCACAAAGCAACTATTTCTCCAATCCACTAGAGAAGCTAAGGTTAAAAACACAATTTATTTAGCTGGAATGAAGGTACAATCAGTATTGCGTAATATGAAATACCTGTCATAATTGTTTAGGTCATCACCGTTCCCATTAAGGGCTGCTTCTGACATCATTTCCACCTTCATCTTGAGGTCTTGATTCTTCCTTTGAAGGTCCACTATTACCGAATTTAGGAAATCGATCTGATTTGTCAGGGAAAAAAAACAAAAAAAACAACAGATGTGTAAAATATCTAAAATGTATAGAATGGACTATCAAGAAGTCACGGACGTACAGTCTCACGCTATGGCTGCAGAGTATGCTGACGTCCCAGAGGGGCCAGCAGTGGCCATTACCGAACCTGTTTTATATGCACACACACAGAATTTTACACAAATCATAACCAGGTAGTTGTCCCATTACACTGCAGAACCAATGCAGGACTCATCCTCCACAGATCTGAAAAGGTTCGGGGAACTTCTCCTCAGATCGCCATCTTAACATTTACTGATTCATCACGGTGGGACGGTCAATGTGTCTTCAGAGGAGACACTCTGGCGCACGCTGACGAGGCGGCGTCTGGGTACCACAGGTGGGAAGGGCGCCAGTGCCGAGTGTGACGGGACAGTGGCATAAGGGGACGACCGGCGGGAGGAAATGCTCTTGGCCTAACGTTTGCTTTTAGACCAGGGGCACTTTCATTTAAAAACAAGCTTCTTCCCTCTTCTACAAATAACGAGGTCTTATTTTTCTAAACGGCCATTGAAAAAAATCTTACTTTACGATATAAAAAATGTACGTATATACACATACATGCACACGTTTCAATTTTTAAAGAACTATTTGGCCTTTTTCTCCTGCTGAGGCAACTTATGAAACAAAACTAGCAATCAACAGCTGTGTGGTTCCCTGCAGGACACCCCTGCCGACACGGAAGCAGACCCACTAAATCTGTCCTCACTTCTTACGATGCACTTTCTAAGACTTTATTCTGCTAGGAGCTCCGTTTCGGGAAGAAGGAAAAGCTGCAGAATGGATGTAAGTATAGTGGGAAACCACACACACACTCTCACTCACTCACAAATTAGGAAACATAAAACGAACCATTTGCTGATTGGAAGAAAAGTGTTGGCAGCAGCAGATGAAACAAACGGAAGCAGAAAGGAAATGGGGGGAGAAAAAACACTGTTAAGTTGATGTTTATTAGACATACAAACTAAGCAGACAACGCTAACCAAGGTAAGTTCGTACGTCTGCTGAATCCTTTCAAGCCTTTGAAAGGAGATGTCAGTTAACTGAAACAAATCACAAGCCCCTGAGCTTTGCTTGCATTTAAAAATGAAAGATGGCTTTTGTACCTGTGATTTTTGGACAAGATAAATATATCCAAAATATTAAAACTGAAGATGGGTGTTTGTTGTATGTGCTATAATATTTCCAAATATAGACTACTTTGCCTCCATATAATCCCCTGTTTAAAACTAAGGCTGTTTTGTTAATTTTGGCTTTAGGAAACAGTTTTCAAGAACTCCATCTTTTAAAGGTAAAGATGAGCAAGGAACCTTTTGACAGAAGGATCCTACTTCTAGGAATACTATTAGATCTGCAAAATGACACATGTCCAAGTTAATTCATGACAGCATTGTTTTATAATACACCTAAAAGGTCAGAAACATCCCAAATGTCATGTCAACCAATAGAGAACTGATGACATTAGGGTACAGCCATAGAATGGCATACTATACAGCTAGAAAAAAGATAACTGCAGGCTGGTTTATGTAATATGCCACCATTTATGTAAAAAAGGAGGGGAAAAAGACTATTCACCTTGGCTTGTATGTACATTTAGAAAAAAATCTCTGAAAAGATTTAAGAAGACACTAATAACAGTGATCACCTGCTTGGTGGTTTGGGAACTGAGAATGTTTGATGGGAGATTCTTTTTACTGAATGTGTTTTTAATAGGGCTTAATGTTTGAATGATACATTCATAATAGGCAATAGGAATGTATTACCTATTCAAAAGATGAGACGATCTTTTAAGTAGTGAGTAAGCAAAGCTGAAGGAGAGAACATTACCTGACTCTCCTGGGCTCGTTCGTCCTCTTCTGCCTGAGTATCAGTATTACCTGATAATAAAAAAAAAAGAAAAAACGTGGAGGGGGATTTTTTTTTTTTTAATTGCTCTTTTTCTTTGTCATTGCACTGTAAGGGCCAGTGCTAGAAACCCACTTTCTGTGGACTTCTCAGAGGCACCCCTGGGGACACGTTCACGAGTGCCTGTCCCACGCTGGACCCCTCGAGACCTGCGTCGGTGCTGGCCCTTCCCCTTGAGGTGTTGTCGCTCAGGCTGGCTCACAGCTGGCAGCAGTGCCCCTCAGCTGTCTGAATTCAGAGGCCAGCGCCATTCTCTCACGGGCGCCTGTCCTCTGCCGCAGCACTTTCAGACCCCACGGCTGCCCCTGGGGTGGCGGCCAGCGTCTACCATGCTACGTCTGCCGACACTCCCAACCACGGAAGGTCCGAAGTGGGGAGAGCGGGCGCCCCTCTGCGTGGACCTGGGTCATGAGGAGCCCTTGGCTGACTGAGCGGGAGTGCGGGATGCAGCACGTCGGCTGCCTGCGGGGGGCATCTCGACCAGACAGGAAGCAGGGGGCTCGGAAAGGGGCGCCACACGGTCGTTTTACCTGAGGAGCTGCTCAGCTGCCTCTTGTTTTCTTTGAGTTGAAGCTCCAAGTTCTTTACCTTGAGCTCAAGCTTCACCTTATCAGACTCTAGAGACTGGACGACTGAATGCAAGGACTTGGCCGAGGCGTTTTCTCCCCTGAGCACTGTGACCTGGAACACAGCGGTGTAGCTTAGGCTCGGAGTTTGAACAGAAAGAGGCAGCGGGAATGTTCACCCCAGAAGGTACTCTACCTCATTTCTCAGTTTTTCCAGCTCTGCATCCTTTTCCGTGAGTAAGGCACTAGTAATACTGATGGATTTCTGCAAGGAAGCTTTTTCTTCATCTGTGTCTTTTATTAACTTGGATTCTCTAAAAAACCAAAGAGTTAAAAATTCCAGAAATCAACCGAGAGAGTGGTCAGTGTCTAACTCTCCTAGAACAAACGTGTAATTAACTTTCGTTAATGTAAAGAAAAAAGGTATGACAGGGAAATTTTATAGGGCGTTAAGGCTATTACGCTTGCAAAATTTTACTTGAAATTTTACTTACTGTGAGGGGAGAAAAAGTTTACTATGCATAGACATGCCAGAATCTGCTATCATTGTATCCATTCGAATTTAAAGAAACAAGTTAATAACTTTGGAAGACATAGAATTAAAAAAAACAAAACCAGATCGTTGCACCCCCAAAGAATTCTTTTAAAAATCTAACCCCAGTTGAGTTCTGTTACTTCTCAAATAAATTATTACCAAGCAATAACGACAATTAAAATACACACATGCAAAGCGATTATACAGATGTCATGCAGAGCAGTTTTATGCTGGAAGTATCGATTGGTTCTCACTAATTTCAGTAACTTTTAGCAAGTTCCAAGAATGTGTTTTTGAGATCTCATGGGCCAAAACGGTAGCAACGATTATTACTACTATTCAAACTGAAGGATTATTACTTTTCATCCATGGAATCTGAATCCGAAGACGACATTAAATTGCTCAGAAATTAAAGGTGATTGCATAAAAGCTAGAACAGAAATGTTAAAATGGATTTTCAGGTATAGAAAACATGGGGGCGTCTGGAAGGAGAAGGTCCAAGTTCTGGGTGTATGTCCTCGGCCTGACTCGGCAGAGGGAGGGGACCGGGCCTTCAACGAGAGGAGGGGGGAACGTGATTCTTGGAGTCGAGGGAGTGGGAAAGAAGGGGGACGATGAAGGGAAGACAGGGAGGGAGGGAGGAAGGGAGGGCAAGACATGACAGATACAACCCAAAGGGGCAGGCTTCCGCGCGTTTGTGTGTGTTTGAGTTTACGTTGTTGTAAAAGTTACATGCATTTCACAAGTACCAATGGTCATCAGAGACAAGGAAAGACTGAGGAACTGTCACAGACTGGAGGAGACTACGGGGTGTGACAACTAAATGCAGTGTGGTTTCCTACACTGGATCCTGGAAGAGAAAAAGGACGTTAATGGAAAAACTGGGGCAATGTGAATAGTCTAGAAAGTCTAGAGTCCAGCTAAGAGTCCTGTGCCCGTGTCACTTTCGGAGCTTTCATAAATGTACCAGGGACTGTACACGTTAGGGGGGTGCTGGGGGAAGGGTATGCGGGAACACTGAACGACCTTCACAAATCTATGAATTTAAAATGTTTTAAATAAAAAGCTGTTGTTTTTTTTTTTTAATACGTGCAGTCTGAAACAAGATAAAAAGACCTTGTATCACAAAAATATTCTGGGGAAAACAGAACTGGAGACTAGTTTCCTAGCTAGCTCTCAGGCCATACAACCTATGACATTAATGCGGCTGATCGTCAGTGAGAATTCAGAGCTTAAACGAGCCGAATTATTCCCGGTTCTACCAGCGGTAACTGGGTGAGTGCAGAGCATGTAATGGTTTGGTCTGTTTTAGAAACAACTAGAAGAATCGGAAACTGAGGCCCAGGTTAGAAATGGCAGAAAGTATGGTTAGTGAGACCCAAGATATCCGGCACACGAATTACAGAATTCTCATGATTTATGATAAATTGAAATTCTACACAAAGATAAAAATATAAGTGTTGTATTTATCTCATTGTGAGGCTTGCACTTTTACTCCAGAATGATGAGTAATAAGAAAAGAATCTGAGACTTACAGAAGTTTCTTGAATTCAACACCCAAGCATTATTTGTACACTGAAAAGGGGGTGGGCACCAGTGACGTTCAATTACTAGGGGTGACACCTAGCTAGGAAATAGGGTCTTGTTTAGGTTAAAACAAAGATTTTAATGGAAGGAATGTACAGGTACTTCCTCCACCTGTAAAGTAAATATCTGACGTTATCCAAAGATTCAATAAATCTTGAGCTCCTTAAGTTTCTAGTAAACTTATTTGGTAGTTTATCATGAAAACTATTTCAAGAGCTTCACTTGTTATAAATACAACTTGAATTTGAACAATGTTACTGTAAATATTTTTACTGAAAAATACCAGGATTTGGGGGTTATGAAGCAGATTAAGATTCCTCCATAATCAGGACTCTAGTTAGCCAAGACGTCACAGATTCTTTAGTGTCAGGGACCGTCAGCTGGCAGAAGGAAGAAGGTACAGGTATCTTGCTTGTCATCGCATACACAAAACCTCTAAGCGAGACTGCTCTCTAAGATGGCAAGCAGAACGCTGCTGCATTATTATCAAAAGATGCTTGGCTGTGAGAGGGATACGACTTGTGACATCTCCCAAATGACAGGACAAACAGACAGCGGCAGCTCATCTTTGTGACAGATCTTCAGTGCTGGCTTCTTAGGCTATTTCTGAGCCCTAATCCCACTGTGCAAACCAAGAGGGACAAGTTAAACCATTTATGCCAACATTATTGACATCTGAGTCACAAATCACACTAACGGTGGGGGAAGGGCATATTACTTTTAAGCCACCCTGGCTAGTCTGGCTTGGTGTTACTAAAAATATCAAGAAGGGAAGATAAACATAATAGGAAAGGAAGGCTAGAGGGGCCCCAAATCTTTTCCGCAAGGGAACATGTTGCCCAGATTCTTTCCTTACTACTTACATAAGAAATAAACTCTAGTAACGAAGGAAATACCTTAAAGTGTTACTGGGCAAGCTTTAAAAATGCAAGATAACAAGAACCGAATATTAGAAACATGAAGAGAAATGCAAATACAAATTTGCACTGAAGTTCTTCACCGTATATAGGTACAAAAAAAGTGTGTGTGTGTGCGCGCGCGCGCATGTGTGTGTACTGTTGAGAATATTTTACAAAACAAAAGCGAGACACAGAGGGACAAAGGCAGCCAAAAAATATATACAACAGTTTGGTTTACTAAAAAGATATGAAATTTATTTATTATAACGTGGATAGACTTTCTTTAGTCTTACCATGAAAGACACACAGATATAGCAAAGGAAGCAAGAGTAGGAAAGGGAAAAGAGAGGGGTGAGATGAGCATTGGTCAGTAGCACAAGCTTGGAGACAGTCAGACAGTCAGCAACCCACAGTGAGCTTAACGAGCCGAGGCGCACGTGACCGCGTCAGACTCTGCAGGCGGCACGGTTCACTAGTTTTCAGTCCTGACAGAAATCCTGCATTTACACTAACAGAATTCATTGTGACTTCATGAAGTCCCTTCTTGGGCATAAGGAAGCCTAGAGGAGGGAAGGAAGCCAGACGAGTTTCCTCATCTGCTGCGGGGTGTCACAGTCAGAGGGACACGCCTCCCCAGTTCTGTCACTTAGAGCGATTCGAGGTTGGCCCTGCTTTACCCATTGGACATCTGGGAACCTGTTTTGAAGGAGACTTGTCTAACTTGCAGACCAGTTTTCCAAAGAAATGATTACATTTTTAAGCTAAGAGAAAAACCTTCACTACGTATTGCTTGATTCAATGTTTAGGTACCTTAGCAGCTACAAGAGGATGCTACTAACTTCTCACTGATAAGTAGTTTCACCCCGCAGTCAGGAGTAAGTTCTGCACTTCAATGTAATGACCCCTCGGAAGATGAAATTGTATCCTGTTTTGACTGTTGTATGTCCAATGATCACTTGTTGGCCAAGAGCTCAGTTCTCACTTAAACAACTACATTTCAAATATCCTCATGATTTAAGTCCTTTCCCGGCTTTTAAATTAAATATCAAATTCTTTTTAGTACTCCCTGTGAAATTTACTTAACTATTACACACACAGACCTACATACGAATCTTCTGCCAAACTGACTTTTAGAAGGCACTTAAAGGCCTAAATTAATAGCTAAAATATATACTCGCATTCAGATTTCTAAAATAGACATAATTTTCCATGAGGGTTAATTAACAATTTGACAGACAAAAAAAAAAAAGTTCTAAATCTGGGAAACTATAGATTTAAAATTTTTTCACTCCCAGAAAATCATCTTTATCTCCCTTTACTGATAAAAAGAGTCATTTTCGAGAGCTATTCTCCTAAACATATCCAGCACCTAAAATGGCAGCAGAGATGGTGAAGTAAGGAGAGAGGAATGAACACGCACCCAAATTTGTTCCATCTTTATAAGCCGTGAAAAAAGTCACAGGCCTAATTACATTTTAAAGGGCAAGTGATTCTAAAGTCACATGGTAAAGACTAATGACCATAGCGAGTTTTTCTTAAAAAAAAAAAAAAAAACAAAAGTAATAATAAATAAATGTATGGTGAAAAAAGAACCAGCATAAATATCTGAAGACCTGGGCCTTATACCTGCATCTGAGCTCCTGGCCAAGTCGCTTAACTTTTTGGACTCTAGTTTCAGCGTTTTAAAATGCAAGCCCCACCGTGTATTTATTTCACTGGGTTGTTTGAGATTAGATGAGTTCGTGAATTATGAAGAGCTCCATAAATGCAAGAGGCCTATGCCAGTACTTACACCAGCCCATTTTCATATGTTCCCTCACCAGAATGTCACAGGAATAGCCCTATTAACCTTTTCACGTATCCTTGATAACCGTATACATGAGGTTCTTTATAAAGTAAAAATAGATATGCCACGGCCCAGTGGGCAGAGCTGTGCCTGTACACAGGAGCTAGGTTCAGGCCTGGCAGACCAGTCACCACAGGTAATGCACAGCCACCTGGAGAACACCTGGCTGGACCAGGGCTGTGGCGGTGCTGAAACACACATGCATTCTGGTGTGAAATGTTAAAGAAAAATGAATAAGTATTTTTAATTAAAGAAAGGAGGAAAGGCACCCCTGGACCAAGGCCTAGTGTCCTTTAGAATGTAGCTTATGGAATCCAAATATCTCTGTGGGCTAAATAAAGCCCTCAAATTCCTAGACACCTGCCTTATGGGCAGGAGGGGACACTGCCAGTGTGAAACACGCGTGTCAGCGGTCCACTGCGGGACGTTCCTCTGCTCTGACAGGTAAGCATACTTTGCAAGAGCCTGGAGAATTCTTTTTTTCTAGTGTATTCTATTATTTTAGAAGAGCAGACTGACTGCCAGGCGTATAAGCATCAAGCTTCCAAACGCTCATGTCTGTGGGCCCCTTTATCCTCACTTAAAGGTACTGGAAGGCTTCCATTTGAATACCATTTGATTATCATGAAAGAACAACAAATAACTCTTTTTCTTAGAAAACAGAAAAATTTTAATGGTGTTACTCATTATTATTGAGAAATTAAAATTTTTATAAAATTAAAATCAGTATTTATATGCAGATCAATTTTTCCATGTAAAATTATAGTATTTTTAGTTACTGAAACTAGGAGGGAAGAGCAGTATGTTATGAGACAATCCGATTTTAGAACACTTCTGAATAAATGCCAACTGAACGCGGCTTAAAAACTCAACTATTCCTTGTTTTAGTAATTAATACTAAAACTTGTGCAAATGAATTTTCATAATTTGTCAATTATGAGTACCAAACCATTGCAATGTGACTTTCCGAACCTAAGAAGGTCGCGTGTTTTCTACAAGTCACCGTACAAGTCATCCATCATCTTCTAACACTTTCCCTTTTGAAACACACACTCTCACACACATGCCAGCAAAAAACACGAAAAGAAAACCTACCTCTTTTTCATTTCTAACAACTGATTATTGAGCACAGATCTCTCTTCTTCCACCTGGAAAGAAACACACAAAAAAGTTCAGTTCAGAACAAGCCCGCAGGCCTGTTTCTCGTGCCACAGGTCACGTCCTCAGACTCCAGGACACCTAAAGTAATTGGCTTTCCTCATGGGCAATGAAAAAAGAGCAAGTGGTCACCGTGTCACAGGGAGCACGGCTACCAGTTACGAATCATTTACGACCTGAGCGACTCCCCTTCCTCGGGGACTTGAGAGGTAAAAATATGACCACCTGAGCAGTAGGTGCCGTACCTCAGACAATCAACAAGTATTTGTGAACCAACCTAGTGAAAGCTTCAACATTAACATCTGGGCTCCTTTACTGAGACAACGGAGGTTGCTAATGCCAGGAGGGCGGGGAACAGGTCATTTCTTCCACGTGGGCCTCATTTTATACCTACTCTATTCCAAGCATTCGTTTTCTCGCCTATAAAATATGAAGGTTACAAAAGAATCTCCAGGGGCCCTTTCGTTCTAAAATTCTATTATTCTACGAAGGTAAAAAGCAAAAGATTCAGTTAATTCATCTTCTGAGATAAGCCTTACCTCTACCCCTCAATCTGCACACCAGACTTTAGCCAACTACCCATTCCAATTCACACTGCTCAGCAAACAGGGGTGAAAAGGCTCTAGAGAGTGCATGTGTGTGTGCATGTGTGTGTGTGTTTTAAGGGTAACACCAAAGTCTATGTAGTAATGGTTCCCAACAGCTCAGAATTTAAGCTGTATGTAGTTAAAGTCTTACTTCTGTTTACGTATTTGTTATGTACATGCTTTGCTATAAGGCCTTCATATCTAAAAAGTTCTTTCATATACACAGACGTGTATGTTTTGAACATTAAATGACATTCATATGTCTCCTGAGGTTAACATACAGTTTTTTCACTGTGGAGTCTGCTTTCCCGGTCTATTAACGTATATGCATTAGCTGTGTGAGTAATTCACAGAAATATTGAAACATTTTTAAAGAGCGAAAGGAGGGAAAAAGAGTGGGAAGCAAACACTAAAAAATGAGAGGAGGAACATCTGGGGAGTGGGATGTGGAGATGAGAGGGGCTTCCATTTTTTCCTTTACGCCCTTTTATATGGCTTACATCTATTTTTTTAAATAAGTATGCCGTTAAAAATTTTTTAATTAAAAAATTAAAAACAAAGAAGAATTCAATAAATAAATGTAAGACTGGGAAATGCCTACAATGAAGATATAAATGGATAAAGGACACAACCGATAATTCACAACAGAGAAAATACAATTAATAGATGTTTGAAAAGTCACTCAACCCTGCAAAAAACAGTACGCAGAGATTCTCCCTCTTTCCTGGAGGATGCATTGTGCCTAAATTTCCATGGAACAGAAGTTTGGAATACTTATTGTACTGATTCTTTATAGAAAACAATGTTTTTTTTCCTTCTGGACCAGGATCCGATCCAGGATAACAAGTTGCATTTAGTAGTTACATTTCTTTAACTAGTTTCTCATTCTTTCCTTGTCTTTTGTGACCCTGACATTTTTGAAGAGCACAGGCCAGTTAATTTGCAGAACGTCTGTCCGTTTGGATTCATCTGATGTTCCCATGGAGTCAGATCACGCGCCATTTGGTAGGAACCACACAGAAGTGATCCCGTGTCGTTCTCAGTACGTGCTCATGAGAGGCACACACTGGTGAGGATTTGGTCACCTGGTTAAGAAGCATCTTCCATGTTTCTCCACTATAAAGGTATTATTTTTTTCTTTGTGACTAATAAGTATTTTTGTATCGAGTTGGTTATTTGGGGTGTTTGCCTCCCCACATAAACTTTAGAATCAGTTTGTCAATATCTACAATATAACTTGCTGGGATATTGATTGAGACTGCATTAATCTATAGACCATGTTGAGGACAATCAGCATCTTGACAATAGTGAGTCTATGTATCCATGAACATGGAATATCTATCTATTTATTTAGTTTTTTTTTATTTCATTCATCAAAGTTTTGTAGTTTTTCTCAGATCTTTGAATATTGAATTAGCCTTACATATCTGGGATAAATTCCTCTTGGTTGTGGTATATAATTCTTTTTACACATTGTTGGATTCAATTTGCTAATATTTTGTTGGTACATACTATTTCTAATCTATTTATGTTACCCACTAGAAAAGGCAAAACTATAGGACCATAAAAGAGGTAGTTTTTAGGGATTAGAAGGTGACTGACTAAAATGAGTAGGAGAGAACTTTTGAGGGTGAAGAAAATCCTGATTGTGGGGTAAGTTATATGACTGGATACATATGTTGGAATTTGCCAAACCATACACATACGAAGGGTGAATTTTATGTAAATCATACCTTAATAAATAGGACTTTGGGGGAAAAAAGCAAGTTTGAGTAATTTATATAACATAGCTTTTGTGAAAAACAAAAATTATATATATATGCATTTGTATATGTTGTTACACACATAAAGAACAGTATGAGAAGATACACTAAACCATTTACAATATTAACAAGATGACGATGGGAGGAGTTATAATTTTGAAATGGCATATATATGTGCATTGTTTCATGTTACAAACCATGTATTTCTAATTTTAAAGTACCAGTACAATTTTAAAGGAATAAATAATTCTCATTTTTGAGAGATATAAAAATAATTACAGATGAAATGACAGGATATCTAGGATTTGCTTCAGATTAACCCATGACAGAGTGGAGGGTAAGTGGGAACATAGCAGAAACAAGAGTGACCAAGAGGTGATGGCTTTGGAAGTCGGCTACACGGAGGTTCACTGTAGTGCTCATTCTGCTTCTGTGTGTGCTTGAAGTTTTCCATAATAAAAGGCTGAATAAAAGGGAGGGTTACTTTAAAGAAAAACATTAAGAAAGTAATATTACAGTGAAGCTACTAGTGTACAAATAATCACAGTTTAGGGAACACTGGCCCAGAAATCTCAGAGAACATATCTACCCATAAAACTGTTTTTTAAAAACACATGGTGGGTAATCTGCTTTTAACTTATCATTTAAGCTAAGAAAAATACTAGCTTGTGTGAAATGAAGGATGTGTTGACGTTCAAAGTCATTACATATGCAATTCCTGCTTTGCAGGCTCATTAAAAACCAGTGGAATAAAAATCCTCAGAGAGGAGCAGCAATTTTCTTTCTGTTGTGCTCGCTGCCATCTCCTCCAGTTCTGAGCACTGACAGGCACACAGTAGGCACTCAGTAACTGTGTGCTGAGGGAACAAATGTCTCAGGTCATCAGTGAGCTGGTGTTTCCGATGGGAATGCGAGGTGGCACTTACAAGCCAGCTCTCATGCAACTGCCTCTCTCTGCTCAACTAGCCTAATTAAGCCAAAGCCGTGCTAAGCCGACGCTGTTCCCACCGACTTCCCCAGTGAAGTGGTTCACATTTGGGCTATTTCGGTCTCTTCTCTAAGCAAGTGTTCTGATGTCCAAAATAGCAGCTCTACCTTGACAGCACAAAACACATTCATATTTCCTGTGCCTGAGGATTTCTCTCTGGCCTCCCACACAGACAGACAGACTGCTGCTGTTAGAAGTGGAGAAGGTAATGCGGAAAAAAGGAAGAGGAGGCTTCGGTAATTTCTGTGGACAAGACTTTTCAGAGAAAAAAGAAGAGGGGGATGAGTGCAGTGACGTGCTGCCTAGACCCCGCTTTCAAGCTAGGCTCCTTTGTCGCCAGCTTCTGGGACAGCCCGGAGCTGTCAGCCCTTCAGGGGTCATTGCTGTGGAGCGACTTCGAGTCAGGGTCATGCCCCTTTTCCGGGATGGACCACCTCCAGTGACTGATGTGGAGTTATAAAAAGACAGGTGATCTAGCCCAATATGGGACAAAGTTCCAGCTCCGGAGCTCCTCACGAGGTGGGTCAAGGCTGTCACTGGGCCCGCATCATGGCTCAGCTTCTTGCTCTGCCCAATCCTAATTCCTTCTCCTGTTTTCCACAGGTGCTGTCCCAAGGGCCCATCTTAATAAACATCATGCACACTAAACACTCTCTAAGCTTGCTTCCCGGGAAACTGACCTGCAATGGGAAACATTAAGTTACCACCGGAAGTTCTTAGAAAAGGTACAGGAAGATAGCAAGCCTTGGAGATTAGTTTGCATTGATATGCATCTGTATATGAATTATGTAAGTAAATACACATGAATATATTTACGTCCTCATCACTGTCCTTTATCAAGAATGCTATTGATGGTGTGGCTCTAGGGTAGGGAGATCGTGACTGAGGGAGGCCAATAAATATGAAATAGCTCTTTAAACAGTGCACACACATGTCACCTTGGTCTTTTTCACTCCTGGGTGCTGAAAAGACAGCAGCTACTCTTCCCATAAGTCTGCGAGCAGCTCTGGTGCAGTTAAAGTGCATCCTTTGTCAGCGGCAAACATCCTTAACTAGAAAGACACAAACTGGAAGAGACCCACAGCCCTTGGCAGTCACTTACAGACCGGAAAGCATCTCAGTGCTGGGAAACACCTTTCTACGAATCTCCTTAAAAACTGGAGCACTTCAGAGGACTATGGAGAAGTCTAGAGGGATGTCTCAAACAAGAAATTTAAAATAGGCAGAAAGAGAAGATGTAGGGTAAAAAAGGCCTTCAGCAACTAAACATGCCCACCGGTCCATTTCCTAAATGTGATGATGCCTGGAAATGCTTATCTGAGTGAAAAGAGGGTTCCCGCAGAACCCAAACAACTCGGAGTTTTTGCCCATTTCTAACTTGTAGATAGAGCTGTCATTTTTTAAAAAGAAAAATTAACATATCATTTTTATTAAAATGATATATGCTCACTTTTAGAAAATTCAGCAACATAGAAAAATAAAAAATATCCCCAATTTACCAGTGAGGACTAATTCTAAGTGTCTGGAATAACTGGACTTTTATGTTAGAATAATTCCAGCACAGTTAGCATCAGCTGAACGACATGGCAGGCTTCTCCATGTACACTCAGCAAGGAGGATAAAGGATATGGGGTGGGGTGGGGGGGAATTTA